TGAGTACTGCCGTACTGTCCGACATGTACCGCCTAACTGGCGGCCGGTTACCGCTGGTGGGGTGCGGGGGGGTGAGCAGCGGGGAGGACGCATACCGCAAGATCCGGGCAGGTGCGCGTGTGCATGTATGTATGTATGTTTGTTTGCTTGTTTGTATGTATGTGTTTGGGGATTTTTATGGCTTTGGAGGCCCAGGGAATGGGGGGTTGGGGTTATGAGTAGACCATTGCAACCACTAACACCACTACCAACAACAACAACGCACCAGCACCACCAACAGCACCACCAACAGCAGCTAGGGGCTCCATATTCTACCCTTCACTTGCCCTACCGCTGCTTTCGAGGGTACTTAAAATACACTTCACCATTAACCAACTAACCATTAACCAACTTACCTACCAACGAAACAGGTGCCAGCCTGGTCCAGCTGTACACCGCCTTTGCCTACGAGGGCCCTGCGCTGGTTCCGCGCGTCAAGAGGGAGCTGGCGGAGTGCTTGGCGAGGGACGGGTTTCGGAGCGTGGCGGAGGCGGTGGGAGCTGACCACCCAGACATCAGGCCCGGTTCGTCATCAGCTCGGTCGGGGGCGGCGGCGGCGGGGGCAGCTCGCTCGTGGTGGTGGTTGCGGTGGTGGTGAAGGACACCACCTTGTTGTTAGTTATGTCGTTATGTTCACAAAAAATGTAAAAGCACTGGGGATATGGTTGCTAGTTAGTGGTGGTGGTTGACGATTAGTGGTGGTATTGGCGGCAGGTGGAGCGGGAAAGGTGTGTGCGCTGTTTGTCCGTATGTATGTATAGCGCCGAGACGTTTCTCTTGCTGCTGCTCCTGGGTACGGCTATTTCTTATCACAATCCAGCTCTACTAGGATTCGGAGATTTTTTACTCAATCCTGAAGCGGAAAAACACTTGAAGGCGAGTTGGATTTTTATTAAGCAAACTATCGCATGACGTAAGCGAATGAGTACGACGGATGATTCTGAAATTACTCACTCCACTGCCAAGCTTACCCCACCATGCCGACGCTTCCGCAGAGCCAGCAGAGACAGTTTTTCAATATCATATGATGATTTTTATCAGTTGTTGTTGAGGATACGCCGTACAGTTTCACGATTTGCCATGCATGGCGTGCCATCAAGCTAGCTAGACATGGCGAGGTAGCTAGGGTATCCTCTCGCATCGTACATGTCGTACACTGACCGTCGGCCAGCAGCATGTGCTCGCCCCCCACACACAACGGTCCCGTCAGGGGCCGCACACAGGATCATTCTTAACAAATCTGAAACAACCTGAAATGGACTATATTCCCGTACGATCTCCTTCCGCGCCCTCATGATGAGATTGCACACCAGAAGGCTTCCCAGCTTGATCGCATCAAAATACCCAGTAACGCTGCGCACACCTCCGTACCTACACACATTCGTAGGGAGCCCAGCTGCTCGACGTAGGGTTTTGCGGCTCGTGTGCAGGACAATTGCATGAGCACACGTGTATACGGCTCGCCGTCTTCCTTCTTCCCCCCCCCCCTTCTTGGGCACCTCGTTCACAAACCCGGTATGTATGTGCGCTGCATGTTCCAAGGCTTTCGGCCCGGGTGGTGCGTCGCACGTGCGAGAACCCCCTGTGGCACATCCAGGTCCCACTTGGGAGCCAGGAGAGGGGCGAGAAGACGCACCAGGGAGGCGGTGTGGACTGATCTCGGCAACTGATACGTTTTCCCTATTTCGATGCCCTAATATCGACATAGGCTTTGTGTGTTGATGTGTCGCACATAAAGAGTGTCAATATATTTTTTTCGAGCACGCGCTTGGCGACGGAAGATAGGTTTTGAGGAACGATACGTTTTGATGGCTGTGGCTGCGGCTGTAGCTGTAGCTGTGGCTGTGAATAATGGCAATGAATGGCAAGTGATGCCGTACAATGGACAGTTGGTTTGATGAAAACGATAAACTGACAACTTGGCCTCGTGTGTAACAGCTTCATTGCGTCAGACACGTCAGTGGCGACGATGGCATTTAAAAGATACGCAGTAGCAGCAGCGACGATAACTGCAGCAGCAGCTTCAGCAACATTTCAGGAAAACACCATTTCAGTAGCAGCAGCAGAAACGAAAGCCTCAGCAGCAGCAGCAGCAGTAGCAAGACTAATATGTCAATGGCTGATCACTCCGCGCGGCGCCCTGCCGGCCGCCATCACCATCACAGCAAACTGGCAGCTAACGAGCCCATCTCCCCCATAGCGAGGAGCGCCTGTAGTGCCTTCCGTACACTCGCAGCACGTGTATCAAAGCTCGTCCAACATCCCCTGGGGGGGGTTCGGGGGAGGTCGGGGGGAGGAGCAGAACGACAAGGGGGGTTGTACGTGGGTGTGTGATGGACCGAGGAGAGGTACGGAAAACGGTACGGCACCGTCGTATGTTTACATCGTACGGAACATGGTACGACACCGTCGTCACACTCACAAACTCCGTCTCATCTCCCATGCGGGGCACAGTTCAACACGTCACAAACAAAACAAAAAACAAAACAAAACACGCAAACGGTATATTCCCTTCTGACATCACAACACACATTTTCCTTCCGGTACTGCAAAACCCACTTTCCTCCCGTTAAACCCGCACCCACCTCCATC